AACGAGCCGAACACATCTTAGTTTGTGTTTGACTCGTTAACTTATCGAAAAAAATTAATGAGCCGAACACAAGTTTCTTAACGGGCCGAACACGAGCTGTTCGCGAACAATGAACCGTTTTGACAACCCTACTCACTATACTTTATATCCCTCTCTCCTTTTTGCTCTAACTCTTGGGGCTTGTTTACTGTAAGACAATTTTGGATTCAACAATAAATAATTAAGTTTAAAAAAAAATTAATTTCATATTTTCATTTCATTTCATTTGATAATTTGATTAATTTATATGAATCTGAATAATCAATTCATTAAAAAAGTGACGGCCCCCCTCTTTTCCGTCGGCGCGTAAACTCTCACGTGCGAAATTACAAAAGGGTATGTAAGCGGTGACGTCACTGCACGACGAACCATCTCGTTTCTAGAAGCCAGGGTGCCAGATGCTTCCCATCCTGTTGAATTTCTTGACCTCCTTTCTCCTCCACGAAAACCTAAGTCCTCCCGCTCCGCCGCGCGGCTCGAAGCTTCCTCTATCTTCCAAAGCTCTCCCTCATTTATATATCTCTCATCCCCTAATCCACTGCCGCATAAATCCCAAAGCTTTCTTCTCAAGGCAGAGACCTTTAGTGTTGACGGACATGGGCAGGTCAAGAGACGCAGAAGCAGAGCTCAACTTACCTCCGGGCTTCCGCTTCCACCCCACCGACGAGGAGCTCGTCGTCCACTACCTCTGCCGCAAGGCCGCCCACCCACGCCTCCCCGTTCCCATCATCGCCGACGACGTGAGAATTCAACACACACACAAATGAAAGAGAAACAAATAGTGACGACTCCAGAAGTTTAACGTTGAAAACTCGTAAAAGAAAAAAACACAGGCTTTGCTCAATTACGAAAATCCACTATTGATTTATGATTATAGAAATCTCGTTCCACAGACGTGAAATGGTAACTATATTTTTCAAATTATATGGGCGACTGATGGCATATGGTTGGTGGTAATCTATGGTGGTTAGCAATGGTCGAAGACGGTTGGTAGAGGTCAACGGTGGTCGGCAGTGGTCGGGGGTGGTTGGTGAGGGTTGAGTGCGGGCGTCAGTGGTTGATGACGGTACGCGGTTGTCGATGGAGGTCGACGATGGTCGATGAAGGTCAGTGGTGATCGACAACAAGCACGTCGATTCAATTAATTAAGCGGTTATAATAATTGTTCCCTCTTTTTTATGTAATTGTATTTAAAACCCCAATAATGAGTAGGTAGTTAGGACATAAATGAAGAACAGAACATTCTCTCTCACTTTTAGGGGTGTAAACGAGCCGAACACGTCGCTCGTGTTCGGCTCGTTTATAGTTCAAGCTCAAAAAGTGTTCACTACCTCTGCCGGAAAGTAGCTCACCAGCGTATTCCAGTTCCGATCATCGCCGAGGTCGATTTGTACAAGTATGAACCTTGGGATCTTCCAGGTACTTTCGTCGAACATCTTTTGTGCATCTCTGTGAGGAAAAGCAGGGGTTTTTGACTGGTTTAGGGTTTTGATTGGCAGATATGGCGATGTTCGGGACGAAGGAGTGGTATTTCTTCACGCCGCGGGATCGGAAATACCCCAACGGATCGCGGCCGAATCGTGCCGCCGGGCGCGGGTACTGGAAGGCCACCGGAGCTGACAAACCGGTGGCGCCGCAGGGGAGCGGTAGAGCCGTTGGGATCAAGAAAGCTCTTGTATTTTACGACGGGAAGGCGCCGAAGGGAATCAAGACGGATTGGATCATGCATGAGTATCGACTTGCGGATGTCAATCGAAGTGCGAAGGGAAGCGGAAGCTTGAGGGTAAGTTTGCGGAGATCGAAGAAGATTGAAATTTGGGGTTTTTAAATCTGAGAATTGCTGAAACTGAAATAAAAATTTTCTTTTTTGCTGCAGCTGGATGATTGGGTGCTCTGTCGATTGTATAATAAGAAGAATAATTGGGGGAAGATGGGGAAGAGTTCGATCGAGCAGAACGATGATGCGAGATCGGAGAGCTTGATGACTCCGGAATCGGGGATTGAGTTGCCGGATTTTGATGAATTTGGGGATGCTGGATTTGGTCGTGGAATGCAGGCGGCGGCGGCGGTTCCAGCGATTAAGGAAGACTATGATTGGTATTCGGGTTTGAATTTGGGGGATTTTCAGATGCCGGCGGTCGATTACTCGAATCAAGATTTCATTTTTTATGAGCTTTGATTCGCCGAAGAAACGTGGTGTTTCAAGTTTGCCTTCGATTTGAAGAGAGAGTTGACAGTGGGCGATGGAATTTGTATATAATTTTAGAAAAAAGAACAACGATTTTGATGTTGTGTTAGAGGCATTTCTACAAAAATTAAAATTTTAAAAGCAGAAAAAAAAGGGTGTGTAATCTTCATTAGTAGAGTCATCATTCGATTCAAATGAAATGTGTTTCTACATTTTTTTTTTTTGTTGTAAATTTTGTTTGGAAATGTAAAGTTTCATTAATGTCAGGCGCATTATCAATTTACTTTTAACCTCTATTTCAGGTATTTCTGTAAATATATAGAAAAAATTATTGCGTACGGAGAGCGTACATTGAGCTGCGTGCGCTCTTCAATCACAGCCGCACATCAACCATCATTGTATACCAATAGCTCCCACTTTTACAAAATCTTTTAAAAAAAAAATTTTAAGGGATTATTAATGTACGGCTGTGATCGGAGAGCACACGCAGTTTGCGTACGCTTTCCGTACGCAATAATTACTCAATATATAGACAATAATTACTCAATATATAGACAGCACACAATGCTAAGCACACATCTATTTACATTTCAATACTCAAATTTTAAAAAAATTATTTATCACTTAAATTTTTTAATAAAACAATTATGGAACGATAATAGAGAAATGATTCACCAGAAGATAGAACTTGTACATTGTTTAACAATCGATCCAACCCCATTTATAGATTGATCAATTCATATAACATTAACACTATAAGTAAAACAACTATGATACCTGGATTTCTAGGGATATTTATTCTATGTTTGTTATCTTTATTTTTGTTTTAGATTTTATAATATTCATATAATAATTTCCTTTGATAAATGTTCTTAATGTACACTTCTCTATTGATAGATGATCATTAGAAATGTCATTGTTAGCTTAGCCAACACGCTATCTTTTTTGGTACTAACAAGCCTCTACATTTACATATACAACAATCAAACTTTTAGTTTGGGATGTAATTATGAATTTTTATAATTGTGTGAGAAATTGCAAAATGGATGAAAAAGATTATTAATTTTGTAAATAATAAAATCTTGTGTGCTGTGTATGTAATTTTCCCTATTTGTTGTCACCATCATTTATGACTACTTTTCTATTGTCTCCATTATATCACATGTGTGATGTGTATACTTTTCCTTGATGATGGATTAATTTTATTCTAATCCATTTAATATCAATTTATTCCCTAGAAGGAATCTTTCTAGTTTCACACCTTGAAAAAGATGGTTCATGAAACCAATTTTAAAATATCTCCTATAATTTATTTATGACGAATATTTTCTCATGAGGTCAGCATCAAGAAAAAATATTATATTAGAAGTCCTGAAATTGAGCCACGTGTCCGAAGGAGGTAGATCATACATTAAATTATATATATTTTTTTTATTTAGGGAGTCATTCGTGTGACATGATGTAATTTTATTGAAGTCTGGATACATTTTTGCATGAGAACTTCATATGTAATATTTATTCCAACATCAACACTCATAATGACACTTTCAACCCAATATAATTTTTTTTATTTCAAATCACTCCAATCATCTTTAATTAGCCTAGTTTAATATTCTCATATTTTATTTTATTTTATTTCACATAATAGAATTATTCTCAGTGCAATCAAATAGGTTTACTTAGAGTAGCTAAGAAGTCTGGTCTCTCTCTATCTCATACACCGAACGGTTGGATTAATTGACTTAACAGCACAATTGAAACTAATTAATCTTAATTAATTATAATGACCTGACACATGTAATTATTTATACATACAATCATCTATCCTTCAAATCAACAATGAGATATCAGAAGAAATGTCTAAGCATTATTCAACGTTTTTGAATTAGTTGATTTAAATAGTTTTGTTGTTGTGATAAATAATTAAATATAAATAATGCGAAGAAATTTACTTTTCATGTGCACGTGTCTAGCAAAGAGAAAATGAAGAGGTGTCCAAATTTGGCTTAAAAAAAAATTAGATTTGGCCTAGTCTATGTAGGATATAGGTCTCAAACTCAATAAGCGCGTCTGGACTGAAATTGACTGGCCTAGAATTATTTGACTTGTACATGAATGAGCCAAAAAGTCTAACCAGAATAGGACCTACCTTCAACCCGCCAACTCGAACTAGACCAATATAAACTGTTTAACATTTGGAATAACAACCATTCAAGTTATAAGCGAATGAATTTTGAGTCAATTTAGAGTTTAATCAAAGTTGGCGGGTAGATTTCGGGCTAATTTAGGGTTTGTAGGTCAACGCAAACCCACCCCAAGAAATTAACGGGTTATGATTTGTAACTTGAACCCTATCCAAAAATTATTTGGTTCAACCCAAAAGTAGACTTTTTGGGTCAGGGTCAGGTTCAAGTTGAGGTTCAAGTTGAGTTGACACTTTGAGTCAATTTTTTATTTCCCTAATATCGGATATGAGTAAGGTTCCAGTAAGCTTTAGTTGTAAAAAATATGGATATTATGTAATCTAAAAAGTTCTAAACGATTACTTTTTTTTCTCTCTTTTTATTCATAAATTAGGTAATTATGTTTATTTTTGGTTGGTTTGATACCTGCCATTCACAAATTAATTGGTTTTTTCAATCATGTTAAGTCAGGTTAAGGAAACAGCAGGTCGCGGGTCGCTACCTTTCGCGATCGAATCAGGATTGTGACCTTTCTCGAACAGAAGCGGGAGTGTGAGATTTCGCGATCGGCGCAGCGAGTGGGAGGCGGGATTGTGAACCGGGCTCTAGCATAACAAATATCCCACTTGGAGACCGGTACACTTGCTACAACGTCTCCTTCCTCAAACTGATCTCCTCCACTGCGGCATCGCTCTTTTCTTCAAACATGAATCATCCACCTCTGCAACTCAAAACCTCTGTTTTCACACCAGAAGACTAACTGAAGCTGTACACAACTTCAGTTTCTCCAGAGTAATACCCTTTATCAACATATCAGCAGGGTTCTGACTTTCACAAATTTGCTGAAACAACAACTGTCCGTCATCTAACAATGACCGTATAAAGTGATATCTGATCTGAATGTGCTTAGTCCTAGACTTAAATGTTGGATTCTAAGTTAGCATTTTTTATCCCTTTATTAAACAAATGTATATATGATTATAATTTATGTTATTCTTATGGATCCATTATGGGTCAAATCTAAATGTGACATGCGAACCTAAATTTTCATGTTTGGATTTCCCTGATTTTGCTTGTTCTATTGTAAGCTCTGATGGGAAAGCAGATTCTCTTAGAAAGTTGTGACCAGATTTATATATATAT